TTTGATTTGATTTGATTTGATTTGATTTAATTATTATTATTATTATTATTATTATTATTATTATTATTATTATTATTATTATTATTATTATTAAATAAGTTGTAGTAAACTGATAACTTATAACATTTCTGCAGTGGATTTCTATGCTGGATAAAGAGAGATTGGCTGCATCCAAAATTGTATATAGTAAGCGAAAAACAGTATGTGAACAGAGATGTATGTCCGAATTCACAGTATTCATAAAACAGTAGCAGAAAGTCCCCGGATGACCATTCTGGCGAGATGCTGAACTATTTCTGGCAAGTGCACAAAAGTAGTACGTCCGGATTACATTCATACTATATAAAACATACTTTTTTACAATTACGAAGTAATTAGGCTATTTATTCAAAATAAGTGCTTACTCAGAGTATGCAATTTCAGAAACAGACTAAATGTTGAAATGATGTTTTATTTTATGTGTTGTTAGTCAAATGAAGGACCTGTTAGTGTTCAATGCTGTTATGTTTGACATTTTAGAGAGTTTACCATTATACCATTTACCATTCCTTAAATTTACATGCTAAATAAGTTCAATTTAACATGTCATCACCTTGGAATTATACGGTTCTATATGCCATTTTTGTCAAAATTGAGTTAATCACATATTCTTATTCTATGACAACTTATTTACATTATGTGATGTTTTTTTTTTAAGTTGTGTACATTTTGTGACTGATATATGAAAGAGACTTGTTCCCCATATCACTATAAACCCCAAAACACTTTGAAGCTCAATATCTCAAAACTGCTCAGAATGTAGATAGAACCTTATAATTCCAAGGTGGCAATGTGCTATTGAAACTATTATTTGGTTCCAGGTCCAACACTCTTATACAATTATATTCAAATTAGCTGGAATATCAAACAAATTGGTTTTGTTTATATACAAATTAAGTTCCTCTAGTGTAGCTCGTTAGTTAAACATAATTTAATACGTTGTCAGAACTCAAAAAAATTGCTGTTGCATTATCTTTTTATTATTTATTTTGTTTTGCACCAAAACATGTTCCTGGTGATCTGACATGAGCTGCATTGATTTCGGTATGAATTCAAGAACTCCACCCACGAGAAGCAAGTGATAAATGATTTAAAAATTGTTTAATTTGTGGCGCAGTTCATTTTTAGTGAATTTATCCCACATACGGACACTGATCTCCCACTTGGGAAAGTTGTTTGTCTTGGCTGAATGTTCAGCTGGATGTGTTATTGACCTCTCCTACTTTCCCACACTTCCAGACCACTGGCCGTTCTCATTCAGCCAAGCCCACAGAGCCAGAGCTGCCAGGAGGTGCCCGCTGCCTGGTGCCAAGCAACTTATCTTAGAGTTAAGCTGTTATGTCATCACATCTAGCACCTGCTGGCCTGTGCCGATAAGGACGTGAGAGCGCTGCTGCCGCCACTGTCCTGTCCACAACAATGAGCACAGGTGCGGAGCAGCTGCTGTACAGTGAGTCTGCTGCATGTGCCAGCTGCACTAAAGAAACAAACAGGGAAACGTCCGTTTCATGTGGACCAATGCTCAGCTAGACTGTACCAAAATTTGATTTGATCTGATGAACTTGATGAGGCCTCATGAGTTTCCACACATTGCAAAAATGGTGCAATAAATAATCATTTGACTGTAGTTTACCTCTTTGAAAAAAGCAATAAGCCACACAAGGATGTTTTAGCCATGAGAAGCAGAAACCCCATTGCCCATGATATAGTCACTGAAACACCTGTTAGGCTTTTATAAAAATGGATTTAGCAGCAATGTGACCCTTACCAAAAAGTAGAATACTTCAAGTTGATTTTATTAAGTATACTTAAGTAAAGTTCAAGTATATTTTAAGTATACTTTATGTAGTAAGTATACAAATATCAGTGTACTAGTAGTATACTTGTAAGTGTACTATTTCAATACTCCTTGGGACTAAATTGGCCCACTTTCTAGTATATAAAATTATACTTTTAAGTATTACAGTAGTAACCTATGAGTACACAACTAGTTTACACCTATGTTTTTAGTTTGTACTGCAACTATACTAAAAGTGAACTTATAGGTATACTGATAGTTTACTAATTAAATACTTGTAGTAGCATTTTTAGTACACTTTGAAGTATAGTCTCAGTAAACTACTGGTTTAGTAGTTTTATACTGCAAGTATACTCGTAAGTTTTCTTTAAGTGAATTTACATCATACTTTAAGTATACTACTGTCCCTATTTAGGTATTAAATTGTATATATTTTGTTATATGAATATCTGAACATGCAAAACATCAAAAGAACAGGGTATCTGCTTGTAAACAAAAACATTTTATTCTAGCTTCATGCATTCTTTTTTATAAACAGTTGAATGTGGGTAAGTTTTATAAATAATGTTTTTTTGGAAATTCTGTACAGAAGATGTGTACTAGCGCCCCTTACCATATAACCATGAAAACACGGATTCTCAGAGCACAAGTATAGCTCAAATATATTTAGACTTTTTCTAAGTATAAGTCAAGTATACTTAAATGTCATTTTAAGTATATTTCTGAGAAGTACATAAAGCCCATTTCTGAGAAGTACATAAAAAGTAGACAAAGTATACTTGACTATTTTTTTGTTTAAAAGAAGTATACTAATAGCACACTTAAATAAAAACCAGCTTAAACCAGCTCAAACCAGCAGCCATGCTTCAAAACATACCTAACCAGCATAGACAGCAACGCAACTGAAATGTTCCCAGGTCCAGAAACGTAGTAAATACATTGGTAAAACAGTCCATGTGACATCAACGGCTCAACAAGCTACGAGAATACTTTTTTTGTGTAAAGAAAACAAAAATAACATACATTTCTCAACCACTCTTCTCCCCAGAGTTACGTCTTCCGCCATTTTAGAGAGTATCACAATGCATACGCACGCTTTCCTCTAAGCGTAAACAACACTTATTGCGCAGATTACGTTCATGCACGCTTTCCCCCCGAACGTAAACAATGCTGATTACGTCGATTACGCTCTTTGGTACTCTCCAAAATGGCTGAAAACGTAACTCGGGGGAGAAGAATGGTTGAGTAAATTGTTGTTTTTGTTTTCTTTGCCCTCAAAAAGTATTCTCGTAGCTTCGCAAAACTGAAGTTGAGCCACTGATGTCACATGGACTGTTTTACCGATGTATTTACTACGTTTCTGGACTTTGGAACATTTCAGTTGCGTTGCTGTCTATGCAGGGTCAGATAACTCTCACATTTCATCAAAAATATCTTAATTTGTGTTCCGAAGATGAACGAAGGTCTTACGGGGTTGGAACGACATGAGGGTGAGTAATTAATGACATAATTTTCATTTTGGGGTGAACTAACCCTTTAAGCTGGTCATGAGCAGGAGCTAGTTGCTTAGGACCAGCTTAAATCAGCTCAAACCAGCAGCCATGCTTCAAAACATACCTAACCAGCATATGCTGTTTTTTTTCAACAGGGAATCAGCTTTCTGTTGATCAGTTTGGCGAAATCCCATGACAAACTTTAACACAATTCTGGGGAATTTTTTCGCCCTCACATGAAAACTCCCGATCATACAAATTTCTATTTAAATGACTGAATCGCCCACAGTATTTCAGAGCAACGGTAAATGTGACCACAACTTTAGTGTAGGGCGGATACAGTCACTAAGCATTGTGTTATCTTGGCAAATTAATATTTAATGTGGTCTCAAGGTGTTTTTAACATGGTTCATCCTAGTCTGAACTACCCATTTTGTCGTAACAGAAAGCTGCTTGGTTTGATGACTTCTGTGTGAACTGTGCTTCATACATTGCTACACTAATGACAATTTGCAATGGAGCTTTTTTGCCTGCTGTATTTCACTAATGTGACCGCACCCTATCTAGCTGATGTTTCAGCAATGACTTTACCAGACTGCATGCTCACTAAATTTTCTTTCAAATGACACATTGGAGCATTGCCAGGAAAGTACTGGGATGCTTGATCTTCTATTCACAATGCATAATGTTGTGTTTAATGTTGATTACATTATAAAGTCTCACTGAAAACCCTCCTTCATCTCACCTGCTTACAGAGGACATGGCCCTGTGTATTTCTGAACTTCTCTGACCACTATCAAGACTAGCTCACTAGCTTACTGTGCATATGTTGTCACATGACCTCAAGACCAAGCTGAAAATGCACAACAAATTTTTGCAGTTTTTATTTTTAAGAAGCTAATACTTTTATTCATCAAGCATGCAGTAAATTGATCAAATGCAACAATTTTCTTGAACTTTCTATTTATCAAAGAATCCTGAAAAAAATTTTTTACGACTGTTTCCACAAAAACATTAAGCAGCACAACTGTGTTAAGCATTGATAATAATAAGAAATATTTATTAAGCAGCAAATCAGAATGATTTCTAAAGGATCATGTGACACTGAAGACTGGAGTAATGATGCTTTGCATTGCAGGAATAAATTACATTTTAAAATGTATTAAAAATAGAAAACAGTTACTTTAAATTGTAATAATATTTCACAATATTACTGTTTTTACTGTATTTCTGATCAAATAAATGCAGCATTGGTGAGCATAAGAGACTTCTTTCAAGCAACATTGTTTCTGATTCCAAATATTTAAAGTGATTTGGTTATTTTGCATTTTTATTTATTTTTTTGTGGTTTAACATTTGGCAGTCCAATCAAATAATAAATCAACGGTACTGCAGAGATGATGGCTTCTGCTTTAGTAACATTAGAAATGGACGGTTACTGTGGCAGGATCCAGACACAGATTTGGACACAATGTGCTGAGGAGGTGACCAGGTGTCTAATTTTCTCCAGAGCAACTGCTGACGGTCTCAAGCCCCTGAATTAATTAGCAATGTACTCTTAGTGTCTTAAAGTAAATCTTCTGTCCACACCGAGAGTGAAAATACTGCAGAAACAAGCATAAGGCTTCTGATGCTACGAGACACACAATGAAATAATGCCATGAAACATCTTAAAATCTGTCAACTTTAATCTCTTGAAGACATTAGTTGTATTAAATACATGTCATATTGCTTTTCCAGTTTTTCTAATGAATTAAGAATTAAGTTTATTCTCATGTGACAGAAAAGGCTTATAGCAAGGCGATAAGAGTCTGAAACAATATTTACATGAAATACAAAAATATAAATTCACAAAATGGTATTACAGATAAATTTACAATAACCAACTCTATAAAATTAAAAATATATTTCTATAAAAAGCCATTTAAATAATCTTATAGCTTCCTGTCAAAAGTGTATGTCTTATGCATTTGTATCTGAGTTTGTTTGTATGAAGCCTTCGTGAACGTCGTCGATCAGCATGTGAAACCAGGACCACGTCTTCTCCATCTTCACAGTGGTTCAGGTTTGTCAGGGGCGGTCTGGCTGTCGTCCCCCAGCGGAGCTACAATGTGGTGGGCCCCAGTCATCCCGTCTCTTACTCACATGCCTGGAGGAAAAAACACAGGCAAGCAGAGAACATACTTAGTACATTTTTGGGTCGTTGGGTGTCAAGGTTATTCTCGGGGTGTATGCGGGTCCTCTTTTTATAGACACCCCCACAATAAACACTGCAGCCCAATTAGCACATCTTTCATTAGCTGCCTTAACAGAGGAGCATTTAGTAGCTTGTGACACACCATTGGGAAACATTTAAGGGTGTCGGAATTAATGTACGTATTCAAGACACATTAGCCAAATAACTGGCCATAAAATTCTAAGGGTCAGAGAGAGGGAGGAAAGTTGTTATAAAAATGAGCTACGACTGTTTTGAAGCAAAAACAACTGTACAATATGCAAAATATGACTGCTCTCTCTGTGTCAGGTAATATCAGTGATGATCCCCCTCTGGCTACAGTTACAGTGCTGCTTTGAGTCATTGAAAGTTACACAAATGCATTCTTCTCTCTCTCTGAGGCAAGTTACAACACTCTAGACTGTAGGAGTGCCAAAGCAAATCAACTTAACTGTGTTAATGCATCAGTGTGGAAGAGTGTAGGAGTGTGTGCGTGCGTGTGTGTGTGTGTGCATGACTGACACTATGATTAGCATGACCTCAATCTTTCAATAAGAGATTGAAAACCCCTGTTGATACTAGAGTCTTGTTTCTTCCCACGATCTGTTAGTCTGATGGTTGATAAAAGGAGTGGGACGTTGTATGAAAAAAAAATCATAATGAGTCGCTTAAGCTGAATTTATTTGATTTGATCTACTTGATCAAAAAACAGTAAAAACAGTAATATTGTTAAGTATTAGTATAATTTAAAATGCACTTTCTTTTTTGAATATATTTTAATAACTAGGCTACCATTCAAAAGTTATGAATCGAAAATGATGTTTTTTTAAGTCTCTTATCATCGCCTGCATTTATTTGATCAAAAATACAAAAACAGTAACATTGTGTACAATTTTAACAATCATTTTAATTTGAATATATTTTCAAATAGAATTTATTCCTGTGATCAAAGCTGAATTTTCAGCATCATTACTCCGGTCTTCAGTGTCACGTGATTCTTCAGAAATCAGTCTAATGTGCTGATATGCTGTTCAAGAAACATTTCTTATTATTATCAATATTGAATTAAATAACATTATTTTATTTCCCTTTTATTTAATATATTAAAGGAACTTCATTTCATTTGATTATGTGGTCTTCAAAAAAGAACAATAGACCTAAATTAAAAGTTTGTTCATAATAATCATACTCTTAATTTATGAAGCTGTTTTTGCACTGATTATATTATGCAACACATAATGTATTATATTATGTTTAGTGCTGTCAAACGATTAATCGCGATTAATCACATCCAAAATAAACGTATTTGTTTACATAATGAATGTGTGTACTTTGCATATTTATTACACAAACATGCATGTATATATTTAAAATATGTTTTGTTTATATATAAAATATTAATGTTTATATATAAATTATATATGAATATAAATACGTAAATATTTTAAATATATTCATGTATGTGTATTTATATATACATAATAAATATACAAAGTACACACATATATTATGTAAACAAACACTTTTATTTTGGATGCGATTAATCGCGATTAATCGGTTGACAGCACTAATTATGTTCATATTCATACAGCATGTGAAAGTTGTCTATCATATGTGAGGGCAGAATAACTAGAGTGTGATACTTTGCAGATGAAGTGCTGACTGAGGTCTTAAAGATGTTCGTGTGCGGTGTTGTGACGTTGCTCAGCAACTGTAAACAAATACTGTAAAAAACTCTGTGTAAAAGCACCCATCAATATGTTTGTCCTCATCTCAACATGTTTGTTATGTTTCGACACTTCAATCATGTAAAATAGTCCTACCCACTCAAAATATATCTGCCACCATACACTGTAAATAGTAAAGCAGAATCTCTACAAGCTGACGCATTTCTTCCATTTATATGTCATACCATTTAGCCCTGGCTATAAACATACAAAAATAAAAACTGCAGCATGATTTTGCATGTTGCATGTTTTTTTAAACAACTCAAGATTTCACCCTAAAACAAAGTCAATTTTGTCTTTAAATTAAATTTTGTCATCACTCAGCACTTACTTGCTAATGCTTTGTCAAGGTCAGCAATGAAGTCCTCCAGCTCTTTAGTGTCTCCAAGTTTAGCTAAAGATGACAATATACAGCTGATCAACACAGTACAGCAAATAAACCTAAAACCGACTCATTCGCATTAAATATGCAAAAAAGAAACATATTTTAACTCACGTTTAGGAGATGTGACCAAGGGACTGTTTGATGAGGGGGAGAAGACGCTGGGAGAGTTGAGCTTCTCATCACTGAAGCTGAAGCTGTTTCTGTTCAAGGACTCTGCACCTGTTACAGGAGGAAAGAAAGAGCCCGAGGAAGTCAGAAATGAAACACCGACGCTTCCTGTATGTGTACAGCACACTGCCTTCTCTAACTCCACCACAACAGGTGGGTAACGACCCCAAACTCTGTCGCAATCTATAGTGATAGACACAGAGAGGCAATGTTGTGATGCAAATACAATAGAGCTGAACACGTAATTGTGTAGAATTAAGGCCCATTCACACCAGAGATGATAACTATAATGATTACTGTAACAGTAGTTTTAAAATTCATTTTATGTGAATAGGGAAATCCACATCAACAGAAATACTATTTCACTTGCAACATCTGTACACTTTTCCTTGCCGAGAGCAGTGAAATTCAAGGGACAACTGGAAAAACTCTAGACTAAACGTCTATAGTATTCACTTGTGTTGAGTCACCACTTAACGCCTAATGTAAAAGCAGTGGAGCAGCACTGCTCTCTACCACACAGGCTTGCCAAACATGTGCAGTGACCCATAACCGGAGGGGGTGTTGGGGGTTAATCTGTGCTAGTAGAGCGGGTTGAGTTTGTAATCAATGCATACTCCTCTAATAACAGCCTCTCTCTCACGAGCACACTTTCAAAGCGGGTTCAAACGCGACCCACCCTCGAGCAGGTTCATTTAAAGCCAAAGATCTGAGCCGGTACACCACACTCCATCTTAAAAAAACGTTGTTTACACATTCTTAGCCCTGTTCGACGTTAAAGGCAGAGCAGGCGTGCTACTACACGGAAGCTCAACTTTTCCCACCGCCTCAGTGATTAGATCCTCTCGCCTGTGGGCTTCAGCACATCAGCTGGTGAAACGTGCAAGTATCCACTCGGCTGACACTGACTGCATCATTTACATTAGTGGTTTTAAACCTTAAAAATCAGCCAAACGATCGTATAATTACGCACAATCAGAGCAGTTGATTAAATACGCTTTTGAAAAGAATTGTTCATAATTGTGCCGAATAGTGTACTTCAAATCTTAAAAGTATATATTTAAAATAATGTACTTACAGATAATAAAATACTAATTAAATTGAAGTGCACTTAAGTGCAAGAGCATTTTTGTAACCACACACTTTTTAAAAGTGCACTTTGTAATCATGTCTAATTCAAAAGTTTTACTTTAAAGTGCCCTTGTAATCATTAAGTTGTATTATTCTTGTTTCATGCATACTTATTTTGAAGTGTTGACTAAGCATGTGTAACATACTTAATGATCATTTTAACTGTACTGTGTTATTTAATATTACATTTAAAGTTCATATATTTTAAATGCACATCTGTAATTATAAATATATTCAACTAACTGCATTAAATATCAATTTAATCCATAACACAATTTCATTTAATTACAATTAGCATGCATTTGAGTGTCTGAAAATGTGTCCAGTGTAAAGTCCTGAAGCAAAAGCGCTTGAAAGTACTGATCCAGATCAATGGCACGGGTGTCAAAATGGCATAAGGCTTGATTGGATCTAAAATGCAGTTGCGCAGATCCATGAGGGCGACTACAGGGCACCAGAGGATGGTTTATAAAGCAAGCACAGAGTCTGTCACATTCCCTGTTTGTTCCAGAAGGAAAAGGGTCGGGTAAAGAGATCACTTGTTGCTTAACCATTAAACACAAGAACACTTCTAGAGCACAAGTGCAAAGGGAACCTTTCTATGCATTCATAAGCAAAACCCTTTCACATCCATTCATAGTGCAATCCTTCCTCAGATTCTAGATGCATCCCATCAGTGCTTCAACACACAAGGAGGTTTGGATATAATGGGATTCAAGCTAAGAAAAAAGTCAGTGTTTAACTTGAAATTGAAACCCTAAACGTCTGAGTTAAGGCTCTGGTTCTCTGTTATTGGCTGGAGAGTTAAACCTTCATGCTGTGCTCAGATCCAGACTGTCTCTGGGCGGTTGGCAGGGTCTGACTGAACTCTCTTCAGCTCCACAATCTCCAGTTTGTGGGAATGAACGTACTGTGAACTTGTGAACAGCTATTACAACTGACTAGTGACATGCTATCAGAAATGTTTCGAGGTCTTTCGTGAAAGCCGGCTGTTCTCTGCGCTTGTGTGTGGGCTCAGATTAGATTAGACACGATTGATTACGCACTGTAACTTCTGAGGCTGCGGGACTTTAGTCGACGCGCAGATAATAATAATGCGCTTAGGGCGCTTCTATGATTCCTCTGGGATAATAAAACACCTCAGAACCTCAGGCACACTCCTCTGGGATAATAAAACACCTCAGAACCTCAGGCACACTCCTCTGGGATAATAAAACACCTCAGAACCTCAGGCACACTCCTCTGGGATAATAAAACACCTCAGAACCTCAGGCACACTCCTCTGGGATAATAAAACACCTCAGAACCTCAGGCACACTCCTCTGGGATAATAAAACACCTCAGAACCTCAGGCACACTCCTCTGGGATAATAAAACACCTCAGAACCTCAGGCACACTCCTCTGGGATAATAAAACACCTCAGAACCTCAGGCACACTCCTCTGGGATAATAAAACACCTCAGAACCTCAGGCACACTCCTCTGGGATAATAAAACACCTCAGAACCTCAGGCACACTCCTCTGGGATAATAAAACACCTCAGAACCTCAGGCACACTCCTCTGGGATAATAAAACACCTCAGAACCTCAGGCACACTCACTCTCAGAGTCGCTGATGCCGCTGTCGCTGACGCTCGCGCTGCTCCGTCTCTTCACGGTCTTCAAGTGCTCATCATACCTGAAGTGTCGCTTCTCCACGGGGGACGAGAAATCCTCAATGACAGCGTCGAATTCACACAACACGGCGCTCAGGTCGTCAACGTCCTCAAGAAATGCTGGAAAACACACGAACAGATTGGTTGCAGGAGCAGAATAAGTGCCATATAGCGACAAACTATCGCCTCAGTGTAATAAGCATACTTGCTAGTACGTTTATCATTACAAATCTTTGACTTACATTTGCTCTGTGACTTCATCTTTGGAGACTTCGGCTTCTGTAGTCCTTGTGTGTTAAACTGCGAAATATCCGATATAAGACAGATCTCGGGCTGTGTCTTGCTCCTAAACTCGCACACTGCGCCCGGTCGGTGGGGTTGTTTTAAATGTCGCCCGGCGCTGAGAGGGAGGCGTGTTGGAAACGCATCGCCAATGAGACGCTCGCGCCTGGTTTAGCCCTCCGGGTGAGTTACATGCACTGGCGTCATGTGTTTGTAAACAGCTACTATGTGCGACATCAGTACTACTTTATTTTTATCCGTAACTCCATCATGGGCACCCTTTTGCGATGACTTCACTTGTTGCAATGTTTTACCAGCAATACAGTAATAATGTGACAGGAAAAATGGCTTACTGTGTGCAGAGGCGGACAAAGTGCTCAACTCCATTACTTGAGTGAAAGTACTGAGACTGCTGGTCAAATATTACTCCATTACAAGTAAAAGTTGTAAAGACAGATTTTTACTTAAGTCAAAGTACAGAAGTACCACTATCTTCAAAATGATAGATACTTAGCATACAGTTTGGTTTGGCGGTATGGTTCAGTTCTGGGCAAAAAACTCCCTGCCCATCCATGCAGCCTGTCATGAATGAGCAGGGAGAGCAGCAATAATAGCCCCCCTAGGGTTAACAGAACAGAACAAGGCAGATATCATTAATGTACTTAATGATACTTAAGTGTAACACTTTATTCAAGATAAAGGAGTCTGATTAGCAAGGAATATCAGAAAGCTAAGTCCTGACTATGGCGAAAGGTGGAGCTGGGGATGGAGGAGGGTAATTTGCTCCGGAGTAAGCTGAAAAGCTGCTGAATAATACTGAATAGAGCTTATATAGGAATGCCGCGATAAGTGTCGTATTCCTATAGGTAGATGTGATTAGCTGAGAATCAGCTGATGCAAGCTTGACTCACGTGATCTGCCAGAACTAACGCTAACGCTTAATTTGAGTACCAGAAGTAAATTTCCTTTTTTATGTCAGTGCACTGTTTTATTGTTATACGTAGTACTTGCAATACTTCTGAAGCAACTCAGAATACATTACACCTACAAAAAAATTAACACCCCTACCCACCTCCACAAAAGCAGGATGGTAGTGATCTCACACAGCTCTTGACAGTGTGTGCACGCATTTATGTGTAGCCATTCATCCACATTTGAACAGATTGGACAGTGAAATCCTGTAAATAGAGTGATAAGGAAGAAAAAAAAACCTTTTTTTTCCGTAAAAATTTCAGCAGCTGGATACACGTTATTAATAATCCTAAACGGAATATCCTTCATTTTAGGTAGAATTGGCCATTTAAGATAATTACAGAACTTGTTTTTAAATATTTCATTTTCAAATTGTTTTAATTTTGAAGGTGTACCGATCCGTTTACATTTGAATACATTCCCTATTACTTTGTTCTTACATTTTTTGTCCCCAATATATACTTCTCCAATCTTTAACTCAGGCAATTTAACAGATACATTTGAATACGTAAGAGTGTTTTGTATTAATTGTTTTAAAGCGAGAGGGATGGCTTTACACAAAGTATTACATTCTCTAAAGGAACATTTTATCTCAAACTTCTCCATGAATGAATTATGTTGAATAATTTGACCAGTTACATCTAAAAGATCTACTACAACATATAAAACATTTTTTTCTTACCACTCTTGTTTGAATACTGTCTTTCTCCTTATTGTAATGGTTCTGTTATTCCACAATGTAGAACCATGCGGTGTAAAATTTGGGGTGAATAGCATTTTCCAATAATACAAAATCTGTTTGTGGAATTTTGAAAGCTTATTTGGCAATTTGGAAACCTCAAAATCACATTTTAGCAAAAAAATTGAACCCTCCAACTTTCTTGAATACACACTTTGGTATATGAAACCACACTGAGTTAGGCTGTGCTAAATACGTTTGAATCCAGTTCAGTTTAAGTACTCCAACCGTTGATTCAAATTCAGTGGCTTTCAGACCTCCATTTTTATATTCTTTAATGAAGAATTTGTTATTGATTCCAGAAGATTCAGTACCTTCCGGTTCATAACATCCAGACAGATTAGAACTTTAAATGTCAGTTCATGCTTAAGAAATCTGTACAATCTTTGACTACTATGCTGAATGTGACAGGAACAACATTTCATACTGTCGGCACAGGCAATTTCATAAGGCCAGATAATACTTTTGAGGCCTAACCACTTTGGGAACCCTGGTCTTTATATTTAAATTTTAAATTGATCCTGCTGATCACAGCTGTTATAAGATATATACAATATATTTAAAATTTTTGGCACATTTTATTTTCATATTCACTTCCAAAACCCATCTGACAGTCACTGCAAACTATCTACACAATGACATTTTTCTCAAATTATACACGATGCTGAATAATCGAGACAAACTTCAGACATGATACAATCTCAATTTAAAGTGCAATACAGTCCCTGTTTTCCAAATGCTCTTGCTTACAAAAATAAATTATTAAAAAAATAAATAAATGAAATCAAGTCTTTGAGATATGCTGGTCTTATTGAAGCATGGATTTGCTTGTAAAAGACATCAAACATCACTAATATGTTGCATATCACTGAGTTTCACAAATGCATTAAGGATAGAGGTGCTCTCATTTATAACAAGGTGTGTTTTCCCTTGTTTTTAATCTAATTTTCATCATAGTAGTTCATAATGCTCTGAATGCCTTGACAGTGGCGCCCACTAGTGTTCATGATGGAGTCAGTTATAGCTTTAGTTATGCATTACACTACAGTTTAGATTGAGCTTGCATGCATTATATGCTTTCGAATTAAAAAGTTCGAATGAAGTGCAGAGTAAATATAATAATAATTGATCTGCAACCATAAACATAACAGAAAGCTAACAGTGAGGTTAGGTCTTGTGTTTCTGATACAAGATTGCCTTTAGAAGTTTCACCATAGCAACCTACGAGAAATTGTAATGATAGATCCATAAACATTACATATTACAGTGAAACAACATGCAAAGTTATTACAGACTGAAAATATTATAACAGGCTCTTCATGTCACTGAGCGTGTTTCTGGAGAGTTAATATCACTCTTAAATAATAGTAAGACATATAGGCATCTTGCTTCGTAATGTGGATTAACAAAACAAAACCCTCATAATGTCCAATTGTTCCATAGTTTATGCTTCCAAAGTCATTTGTAAACTGCACATACACCAAATGAAATCCTATAGACATATACTGTACTGTATATCTCCCAATCACTCTTTCTGCCTTAACTTCATTCAGAACGTCACCCTAATTTATTGCATGAAACTGTATGGGCCAAAGTGCATTAGCATAAACAGGGTGTGTTCTCCTCCTGTTCACCAGCGAGCTGTATGAAGCTGCTCTCACTTGGCTGTTTCAGTCTCAGTGGCTTGCGATTCTTCAGCTTGTAGGCCAGCGTGAGGAAAATGGCATCTACATGCTCTTTTTCCACAGGGTCTCTTGCAGATGTCTCAAAAAGTGGGAAGTTGTAGCTATCAGCCAGTCGCTGAGCTAAAAATGTGGACACCTCTCTCATTCCTCTCAAGTCACATTTGTTCCCAACTAGGATGCAGGGGACCATGGGAGGAACTGAGTGATGGCTGCACTCCTCAATCCACTCCGGCAGACTCTCAAATGAAGCCAGACTGGTCACGTCATACACAAAGATGATGGCATGGACGTTTCTGTAGTAATGCTCCACCATACTCTTCCTGAAGCGCTCCTGTCCCGCCGTGTCCCAGATCTGCAACTGAGAATGAGAATTCAATTTTGATCATTGTAGATATTATACTTGTATAAGACCAGGGCTAATTGTCATAAAGATCTCAGCAGTTTTGAGCACAAAGTGCTATTATACACGTGTGATAAATCAGCACATCAGTGAACTTGCATGTGACTTTAAAGGGGTCATATGATGCTGCTAAAAAGAACATTATTTTGTGTATTTGGTGTAATGAAATGTGTTTATGCGGTTTAAGGTTCAAAAAACACATTATTTTCCACATACTGTACATTATTGTTTCTCCTCTATGCCCCGCCTTTCTGAAACATGTCGATTTTTACAAAGCTCATCGTTCTGAAAAGTGTGATGTGCTCTGATTGGCCAGCTATCCAGTGCGTTGTGATTGGCCGAATACCTCAAGCGTGTGACGGAAATGTTACGTCCCTTAACATACTGTGATGATGCCCTGTCCGGCCGGAGTGACGAGACAAAAACATGAAAACCCATTATAAACTAGGCATTTGTTGCATCCAGTGGGGAGATAATTATGGATTATAATGACTTATACTGTCTTTTT